GTCTCAAAATCAAACTTCTGGGCTCAAGCAATTCTCCCCCCTCAGCCTCCCAAAGTGCTGGGATTACAGACATGAACTACTGCATCTGGCCTAAAACACATTCCTAGTCTTTTGATGCTGACTTCTTGTCTTGGCTGATGTCTGTCTTTCCTTCAGGTGGAAAGGACCCCTTTGTACCATCTCAAGCAGTAGGAAAGGAACTGCTCTTACGTATATTGATGCTCCTCATGCAAAACTCTCAATTCTTAAGTAGTCATGTCTCAGCTCAAGGATATCAGACAGGAAGGAAACACACTTGAAAATGTGATTGGAGATTTTTTTCCCTAATCTCTCACACCTTAATTGAAAAAATAATCTATTTAATTCTGTATTAATTAGGATATACAAAGTTCACCCTCCTTGAAAGTGACTAGGGCAAGCCCTGAAGATCTTCCTCACCTCCTTTTATTTTTCTGTAACCTTGTCTCCTCCAGCACCGCAGGATAGACAATCACAGTGAGTCAAGAATGACCCTCTTTCATGCGGGCTCCGCCATGACCTCTGAACCCTGCTTATGATCAGTGCAATGAAGTTAGAAGTAACTGATGATTGGGAGCCTTTGCAGATAGCTGGCAAGTGGGTAATTTACTTCTCCCTATTCTAAATGGAGTGCGCTGTCTTTGAGGCTAAGCAAGGGGGTGTTGTACGGTAGTTTCTAGACTTTGCTTGGAGACCCCTTTGGAAATCCGTCTTCTTTTTAATCTCACTTAACATGCCTTAATAATCCGTGTGCAATGGAGTCATCCACTCCTCATCCAACCCTCCTCCCCGGGGACTTTGGCTATCCTCAATGAGAGTCTCATGCAGAATGGAAAATCCTCCATGTGTACAATCTCTCACCCCTCCTCATTTCTCTTCCTCCTCACCTCCACCACCCCTTTGCACATCAGCATTTTGACAGCTGGTCTTCTGAGAAGCCCGTGTCTTTTTCCTCTTCAGTAGATACCCTTCTTCATGGTCTTTTGCCTAATGAAACAGAGGCCTTTGGCCTTTGAAAATCCATGACGAGGCCTCAGAAATCAGTATTGTGGAGGATTACTCCATGCCACCAGAGACACTCTGGTGAAAGAGAAACCTCGTGGTCTTTAGGATGTTGGGATTTTGAGTGGTAGCCTCAGGATTCAGGGAAAGGACAATCGGATAGTGGTGTTTTCCAGGGGGATGAGCCAAATCACGTGGTTTCAGACACTTGTGTTTTCCTTTGTGCCTCCCTGGAAGGGAGGCCAACTTAAGGGTATCGCCAAGAAGCCAGAATTGAAATAGGCATGAGCCTGTGGTTGTCAACTTTACAGGCTGGGCAAGGGATTTAGAAAGACCCTTAGCGTGATTTTCCTAAAAGAGACCTCAGCTGCTCCGACCTGGTGCTGATAGCTGCTTTGTCGATCTATGCTTTAATATTTTTCTTTATAATATATCCCCAGATGGCTCCTGGAACTAGTCATAATTACAAACTGTAAAAATCCCCCCTCCCCAGTGTAGACATTTAAACCAGAGTAAGTGATGGGGAGACATTCTGTGGTCTCTGAATGTGCCTTCCCCCTCACCATGTGTTAAAACACAAAAGCCGAAGTTCCATGGCATCTTGATTCCATGGGGCTGGAGGGTAAGACCCCCTCCACATCTAGAAGGGGATCTGTTTGGGCTCGGTCCCGTTAGCGAGTAGGGGACCCTTGCTGTGTGCTGAGAGGCTGCTAGGACTCACCCAGTTGGAATTCTGGGCAGGCTCAAGAAGTCTAGAGCCACGTAAAAAGCTGGTAGGCACGAATGTGCCAGGTATTTGCCAGCCTGTGTCTCCTTTTGCATCCCCCAGTCCAGAGTTTTCTTTGTTTTGACTAAATTGGCTCCTGCAGGGGGAAGGGCAGAAAGCTAGGCCCTCTGCTCTGGGAAGTCGGCCTGAGGTTTCTGTCAAGTTAACCCTTAAAATCGACACCTCTCAGCCCGCCCTCCCCTTTGGCCTTCCCAGAATCTCCTTCAGTGGTTGCTCTCCTACCTGTGCCATAACATCAGCTTCCATGACTTGGACTGGCACTTCCTTGACAATCCCTGTTGGCATCACACCGGCTACAAATTATGCTGTTTTCTAAGGAATTTGAACTTTTTTTCTTCTTTTCTTGAGACAGGGTCTTGCTCTGTTGGCCAGGCTGGAATACAGTGGCACAATCATAGCTCACTGCAGCCTCCAACTCCTGGGCTCAAGCAATCCTCCCACCTCTGCCTCCAGAGTAGCCCAGATGACAGGCGCACACCACCACGCCCAGCTGATTTTTTAAATCTTCTTTTTGTAGAAACAGGATCTTGCTATATTGCCCAAGCTGGTCTCTAACTTGGTCTCAAACGATCCTCCCACCTCAGCCTCCCAAAGTCCTGGGATTACAGGCATGAGCCACCATGCCCAGCTGAATTTGAGCTTTTTAATAATCTCATTCCACATAGCCTTATAGATCCTGTAAATAGGGGGGTCACAAAAGTAATATATTGTGTTATGGAAGATAATTTTGTACTGTGCTGTTTCCTAAATCACAACAATATCCTAAAGTCATGCACTTCCCAGATGATCGTGATCCTCAAAACGCTTTGTAAGATGGGGTAGGGCGTGGAAATACATATATATACACACAGACACACACACACATAAGTATAGTATATATTTTCCTAACCTTTCTTCTGGGTCCTTCCTCAGATCTTTGAGTCGCGATAGAAAAGGAACTTGAGTTCTTTGTGTAGGAAAGTTAAGCTTCCCGCCTGCGGTGTTCTTGCAATTGCCTTACGAATTCACAAGCTCTAGGAGTTCTGAACGGAAGGCAGACAAGAGGCACTTTATCCAATCCCAGAAAGAATCTCTACCCGTGGGACTGAGAATTCATCTAGAAAACCTTATATTTTTAATGTAAAAAAAAAATGGGGCTTACCAGACCTCACAGAGTATTGGACGTCTACAAGTGCTTTTATATTTTGTAACTGTAAAGAGGTTTCATATGCACAGAAGAGCAGTTGGAAATCTGGTCAACTGCAATAAAACAAGATGACCTTTGCATGTACAAAGATGTTGCATTCAGACTATGAAAATAGCAAATAAAGCTTTGGTGCAAGCTGCATTGGAGAAGTCGGTGCGTCCATGTGTGAATGAATAGAGTCTCCGATGCATGCAGGCCCTGACTGGGGCTGGCTGAGTCAGTCTGTCCTGTGCTGAGCTGTGGGCCAGCCAGCAAGAGGACAGAGTTGGGGTCCTGGGAGAGGGTGTCCATGCAGAATTGGAGGCCATGGAAACAAGGCAAAATTTCCATTCAGACTGACAGGGGTTGAGTCCTCCTTCTGCTACCTCCTGGCTGTGGGATTTGCTTTTAAGCATTGGTTCTCCTTAGCTATACAATGGGAGTGGTGATTGGAACATTTGCAGGTAAGAGTTTAAGGCGGTGGTTCTCAACTGGGTGGGTTGTGCCCTCCAGAGCACGTCTGGCAATGACAGGAGGCATTATTGGTTATCACGAGGAGGAGAGAAGATGCTCCAGGAAGTGAGTAGAGGCCAGGGATGCTGCCCAGCAACCTACAATGCACAGGACAGCTCCCACCCCGACCCCACCACAAAGAATGACCCGACCCCAAATGGCAGTAGTGTCAAGGTTGAAAAGTCTGGATTGGGGAGATGTGGTACATCAAAGTGATGAGCGCGCAGTAGGTCCGCAAGATCCTGAAAGATGTGATGGGAGGGGGAGCCACGCCATCCCCACCTCTGCCTTCCTCCTATGCCAGCTGGTGGCAACTACATCCCAACTCGGGGTCCATACCAACTGCTTTCTGTCACCTTCAGCAGGAAGTAGCCCCTTGGCTTGGACTGTCCAGAGTAGGCAGGATGCTGGGAATAAAAGTCAAAAATAACAGATACTGTGTGCAGTGCTTTGCTTATATGACCTCCCAAAATGGCCCAAGTAGAGAGAAGGTTCTCCATTTATGGGTGAGGAGACAGTAGCTCTGAGACCTTCAGGAACTCGTTCAAGGTCACACGGATCTGTGTGACTCAGAGTCCGGCTGTCATCCACAGCATCTCACCACCATCTCCCTCTAGGAGGTACAGGGTAACTGGGTTTGTTTTGTTTTGTTTTGTTTTTGTTTTTGTTTTTGAGATGCAGTCTTTCTCTGTCACCCAGGCTGGAGTGCAATGGTGTGATCTCAGCTCACTGCAAACTCCGCCTCCCGAATTCACGCCATTCTCCTGCCTCAGCCTCCCGTGTAGCTGGGACTACAGGCGCCACCCCACCACGCCCGGCTAATTTTTTGTATTTTTGGTAGAGACGGGGTTTTACTGTGTTAGCCAGGATGGTCTTGATCTCCTGACTTCGCGATCCGCCTGCCTCGGCCTCCCAAAGTTCTGGGATTACTGGTGTGAGCCACTGCGCCCAGCCTATAACTGGGTTTTATGCTGACTTGAGGATTTTAGCCAAAAACAAACACCACCAACAACAAAAGAAAACCTTGTTAACTCACTCCTTTGCTCCAGTATAATTTTATTCATAAAATAATCACTTATTAGATATTGATTACAGGCAAAATTATACTTTGTTAGACACTTAAATTCCTGGAAGCAGCTGGGCATGGTGGCTCATGCCTGTAATCCCAGCACTTTGGGAGGCTGAGGTGGGTGGATCACAAGGTCAGGAGATTGAGACCATCCTGGCTAATACGGTGAAACCCTATCTCTACTAAAAATACAAAAAATTAGCCAGGCGTGGTGGTGGGCACCTGTTGTCCCAGCTACTCGGGAGGCTGAGGCAAGAGAATGGTGTGAACCTGGGAGGTAGAGCTTGCAGTGAGCCGCGATTGCGCCACTGCACTCCAGCCAGGGTGACAGAGCGAGACTCTGTCTCGAAAAAAAAAAAAGAAAAAAGAAAATTCCTGGAAGCTGGGTGCAGTGGCACGTGCCTATAGTTCCAGTTACTCAGGACACTGAGGAGAAAGGATTGCTTGAGCCCAAGAGTTTGAGTCCAGCCTGGGCAATGTAGCAAGATCCTATCTCTTAAAAAAAATTTAAATGCCTGGATCTACCTTTTCTTTGGTCATAAAGAAGTTGACTGTGATGGTCACTTTTATTTATATTGAGGCTAAGCGCCCAGGTCGTGGAGCAGGCCAGCCCCTTCTGTCTGCTGTGTGATCCTGAGTAAATGAGTTCACCTCTCTGAACCTTTCTCCATGGATAAAATGGAATCACAATTCCTCCCCTAAAGTTGGCTGGGTGAGAGTTCCACACATTGCTTATGAAGCTGACACAATGCCTTGCATGTAGTAGGTGTTCAGTAAATGGTAGCTATTACTCGTGAATGTCTTCTGCAGGAAGAAAATCAGTCAGTTCTGTGACAGTATCCTATGGAAACGGGTGGGTGGATCTGTGCCCAAGTTGGAGAGTATGTTTAGGGTGATCTGACTTAAAATTTAGGCCACATGGCACATGGAAAATGGAGAGTGTCTCAGGTCCCTCACTTTGAGAACTAGAATCTTTCCAAAGGTTTCATGTACCCCAATAGGAAATGGTGACCCCAAGAAACCAAAGAAAGGGAGCTGGTGGTTGTGGGGAGACACCGGAGAGCTGCACACCCTGCCCCTCGCCCAGTGCTGCTGGACTTCCCACAAAGCCAGTGAGGTCCGTCTGCCCCCAGGAAGTCATCAGAGGCTGTGGCTGAGGAGACAGGCACTGGGGGCCTCCGTGGACCCGCTATTGGAGTGAAACGGCCTGGATGAAATTGGGTGGACAGGGTGCTGCCTCAGCAGGCTGGGATGTGCTGGGCTGTCAGAAAGTGCTCATAAATAGCATGCCCCTTGCAAAAGCAGGCGAGTCTGCAGACGGCCGTGGATCCTCTGTTCTTCCCGAGGCTACAGCAACAGGTTCATTCTGGGATGGGCTGGGGGTGGGGAGAGAAAAGCCACCCTGGCAGGCCTGGACCTTTGGTGGTCTCTGTGGGACGTGCATGGCTGACCGCCTGCAAAAAAACCAGGGTCTCCCTTAAGGGTCAGGTCCCAGTGAGAGGACCCTGACAGCGCAGCTGGGGGTGGAACAGGGGACCCTTGTCTGCAGTGGCCAGGGTCCAAGCCCCTGGACATGTGCTTAGGGCAGGGGACCTTCCAAAACAGCCCCTCCGAGGGAGGGGAGTGGGCACACGTGGTACCTGCCAAGTCCCCTGAGAGTCCCCTGTGAGCTGGACCAAGCCCTGTTTCCTGCTGAGGCTGGGACAGACAGAACAGACAGCCCGCAGGCTGTGCACGGTTAGGCCCGTGTCCAGAGTATATGGGCTGTGCAGCTGGGCATGCTGGGGTGGCCGTGCTGGGGTGGCCGTGGGTGGGTAACAGTTGGATGTGGGGTGTAGATGTAGGTGCCTTGTGTACCACTGTGGATGTCTGAAATGGGCAGGGGTGTGTGTGTGTGTGTGTGTGTGTGTGTGAGAGAGAGAGAGAGAGAGAGAGAGAGAGAGAGAAACTGTCCTGTGAGCCCACGGGTGAAATACGACTGATAGTGACCATAGAAACTTTTGTGAGTGTGTGCACGTATGTGCGTGTGTGCTGACAAACACAACAGTCCTGTGTGTGTCCATGGGTGCAACAATGATAAGCATGCTTCCATGTGACTGCAGCAGGGGCCTGTATTGCGTGTCACCATCCCTGTAGCAATGAAGGAGAACTGTCGGTGTCTGGGTCTTGAAGCGGCTGGTACACAGTCGTATTCAATAAATGCTTAAGGAATGAGTAACCGAACGCAGGGAGACTGGCCCAGATCAAGTGTCCAAGGACCTGGTCTTACAAACGCTTTCTCTAGAGGTTTGTCTGTCTATCGCCCGACATTTGGGGTCTCCTGTGCCTCCTGGTCACTCAGCCCAGAGCCTGGCACTGTGTAGGTGCTCATGGAATCTTTGGTGAAGTAACCAGTGAACAACAGAGTTCCTGGAGTATGGAGGTGGGAGAGACCCCTGTAGAGGAAACCCCCTGAAGCCCACCCTTCAGCCAGGGTCTGGGGATGGGACATCTGCAGAGAGCTCTGGGAAACCTGGGTTTCGAGGAGCGTCTGGATCGGGGGAAAATGGCACGGGCTTTGGAGCCAGGCCCGACCCAGGCCACTTCCTCTGTGTGCTTGAGGAAGTGGCCTCACTTTGCTGAGCCTCAGAGTTCCCCTCTGTCCAATGGGGTTCCTGATCCCACTGTCTCAGTCCACCACGTGGCCCATGGTAGGTGCTCAATGGACGTTTGCTGAATGACTGAATGACCGAATGTCGATCATAAGTTATGGCCATGCCCTGTGGGCAGCAAGGCTCTGTAGCTCATCCTGGACTCCAGTCACAGCAACACCTGGCTTGTCCCAGGTGGATCCAATGACCCATTTTCCTTTGATTTGAAGCCAGAGGTATTCCTGGGGAGATGGCGGAACAGCATGGAGCACCTGAGCAGGCTGCAGCTGGCAAGAGCCATGGAGGCCTTGGGGGCAGCTACAAGGTACTGGGCAGGGAGGGGGTGAGAGGGCTGCTCCTGGGCCTCAGGGTCATCTTCCCAGCCAAGCAGCACCTCTGCAGAAAGGAAGACCCATCCTTCCAACCACCTGGGCCAAGACAAAACGCTCCAGGTGGGTCCTCTGACTGCCACCCTCCTGTTAGAAACTTGCTTCATGACTTTGCCACATCCCCCCTCCTCTGCAAAACGGAAATGGTTACCCACATCCTGCCTGTGTCAATGGATCAGAGAGGCTCGGGAGTTTCTGGAAACACGGCTCTGAGCTCTGACTCGCCTGTGTGACCTCAGCCTGGTGTCTTGCCCTCTCTGGGGAAAAGGGCACAGGTTTTGGATGTTCTCTGGACCTCAACAGCCCCATCTTTGAAATGTGGATGGTGCCCAGACATCATGGCCAGAGTTGGTGTAAAGGCTAAAAGAAATGAGTGAAGCCAGCTAGCAGAGGGAGGCGCCCTAGAAATCTGAGAGAAGGTTTGAATGCGTTGGCTCTGCCCTTTCCAAACCATCTCCGGGGGCTTTTTGGGAAACTATTCCAGACAGAGTCTAAGGATGGGTCGAATCCCAGTGCCTCCTCTTAACTTGCTGTGCAGCCCGAGGCAAGTATCTTACCCTTTCTGAGCCTCTTTGATCCCTTCTGTAAAATGACTAGAACAGATGTTCCCTGGGGATCTTCTACAAAGTCAGTTTGTGTTTCCAGGCAGGTGAGAGAGGCAAAACCTTGGTCTGCCTTTGCAGCCCCTCTCCGCCTAGGCTTGGGGCGGGCAGAGGTCTTCCCAGAGATTGCAAACAGGTGTTTCATTTTGTAAAGGGGGAAATTTCACGTTAAGGAAAATACAGATTTCTGAATTTTTCTCTTGAAAAAATTGGAACTGGGACCTCATTCCCTCATTACCAGAAGCAGCTTCATTTCCCCACCAACCTCTCGGGTTATTTCAGTCCGCTGGGCTCCCTACCTGGCTCCTGCCGGACATTAGAGTTACAATCCCTAGTTTTAATTGATCTCACTGAAGTTCCTGAACGCGTTTCCCTCCATGGCCATTAGAGGGCAGTGCAGGCCCGCTTCGGTGCTGGCTCCAGGCTGGAGAGATGCAGAGAGGATAAAGCAGATGGTACCTCCCTCTAATGCCCCAAGGAGGGGCAGAGGCTGGAGCCGGGAGCCCAGCAGAGGTGGGATGCTTAGGACGCTGCTCTTCTAGGTGATCGTGTACGAACTAGAGAACTTCCAAGGCAAACACTGCGAGCTTTCGGCCGAGTGCCCCAGCCTGACCGACAGCCTGCTGGAGAAGGTGGGCTCCATCCAAGTGGAGTCCGGGCCGTGAGTACCTAGACCCCCAGTCCCTCGCCACAACCCTGAGCCTTCTGGGAGTGTGGAGGCCCCAGTCTGAGCTCTAGATCTGTTGTGGGGCTTTTGACAACTCCCCTGCCTTCTCTGGCCTCATTTTCCCCATCTGTAAAATGAGAGTTGAAGAATTCTCTAGAATCCTAGATATCTGCAGCAAATCCCAGGATACCTGAGGTTGGAAGAAAAACAGCAAGGACGACCTAGCACCTAGCTCAGTGACTGGAACATGGGATTTAATATTTATCATTTTAATAATCATTGTAACACCTAAAATTTAACATGCATTATGTGATTGAATCCTCATGACCCCGTGAGAGAGGTGTCATTCTTATTCCCACTTTATAGATGGGGAAACTGAGGCCAAAGTGGGTAAGTGTCCCATCCATGTCCACAAGGCAGGCAGGTGTCCCGCCTGGGCCCTGAAGTCCCGCCTTTGGATTGCAAGTCCAGGCTCTGGCACTAACCACCTGGGTGATCTTCGGCAAGTTGCTTCACACACCAGGCCTCCGTTTGCTCATCTGTGGAATGGGGATAACAATGGTACATATCTCAGAGAGAGTTTTTACGAAAATGAATGGAATGATGCAAATAAATACATATTAAAAACAATATAATACAAAGAAGAAGAAAAGGAAGAGGAAGAAGTCGCTGTCACCTATGGGTACTTATTGTGTGCCAGGCATTGTGCTAAAGACTTTTCTGAGTACCTTGCACGGAGGCTAGATTCTCCGCAACATTCGCTAGGATGGTTTTCCGGCCCAGAGTCTCAGACAGTCCCTGCTATGTCCTAGCAGCTCCTTTAATTACAGATCCAGGAATTAGCAGTAGGGTTGGAGGGAGGGTGCAAGGTTCAAGGTCAGCAGCTCTTGGATCCTTCTCTCACTAAACTTGAATGCTTCCTCAGCTGCAGCAAAGGTGACCCAGGCAGGCCTCTTCCTCCCTCAGGTGGCTGGGATTTGAGTCTAGGGCCTTCCGCGGGGAGCAGTTTGTTCTGGAGAAGGGGGATTATCCTCGCTGGGATGCCTGGTCCAACAGCCGTAATAGTGACAGCCTCCTGTCCCTCCGGCCTCTGAACATTGTGAGTATGGTTCCTGCCCACCTCTGGGTGTTCCTGGAAGCAGGGTGCACCGGGAGCTTTTCAGGCAAGCTCACTGCACGAGCTGGGCTGAGGACTTGGCCCAGATGGACCTGGCCGGGGAAGGGCCCTCATATTTCTGATCTGAACAATTGTGTGGGACAAGAAGTGGGATATTGAATGGACATTGGGTTGGGAGTTGAGACACCAAGACTCACATCTTGAATTAAACCAGCATAGCACTGGGACTTTTCTTTGTAACCCTATTAAAACGATGAGCCACGTGGTCCAGTCACAAATCAGTATTGTTATCAAAGAAATGCAGTCTAGGAAATAACTTCAGAAAGTAGCTTCAAAATACTTTAAGTTCTCTACTTGTGTTTCTCTAACACCTGAAAGGGACACAGTCACAGTGACACTATTTATTTATTTATTTATTTATTGAGACAGACTCCTGCTCTGTCGTCCAGGCTGGAGTGCAGTCTCTCTCTCTCTCTCAACATTTTTTATTTATGTATTTTTATTTGATTTTGAGTTGCAGTCTTGCTCTGTCACCCAGGCTGGAGTGCAGTGGCATGATCTCTGCTCACTGCAACCTCTGCCTCCTGAGTTCAAGTGATTTTCCTGCCTCAGCCTCCTGAGTAGCTGGGACTGAAGTCTCCTGCCACCATACTGGGCTAATTTTTGCATTTTTAGTAGAGACGGCATTTCGCCATGTTGGCCAAGCTGGTCTTGAACTCCTGGCTTCAAGTGATCTGCCCGCCTTGGCCTCCCAAAGTACTGGGATTACAGGCATGAGCCACCATGCCTGGCCCACAGTGACACTTTTAAACACCACCCTTCTTCCTCCCCTGCTTCACTCACATCCAGTAGCTGCACCAACCCTTTCTCTTTGTCACGTAACTGAGTCCTCCTTAGAGGGCAATGGAAGAGGGGAAACCGGGAAGATGAAACTGGCATCTGGTTAGGAAAGAGAGAAAGCTCATATGTTGATACTTTTGATCTCCGTCCACCCTCTCCAGGCCTCAGTTTCTCTATCATTTGAATGATGGGATTGAGCAAGATCTGAAAATTCCTTTTCAGTTTTATCATCTATGGCTCTAGATTCCTAAATCGACCAGCTTTGGAGGATTCTCCCTGTCCCTCCTACAGTGAATTTGGGGGTGGAGGCATCTCCTGAGTCCCTTCTCTCCTGCAGCGGGTTTGGGGGTGGGTGTTATTTTGTGGTGACTTGTTGATTCTTTCCGGCGTCTGGAGCCTCCTTGACCTCTGTTCTGGATACGGGAGCAGCCGCTCACCCCACGATATTGCCCTCAGGATAGCCCAGATCACAAGCTTCATCTGTTTGAGAACCCAGCTTTCAGTGGCCGCAAGATGGAGATAGTGGATGATGACGTGCCCAGCCTTTGGGCTCATGGCTTCCAGGACCGTGTGGCGAGTGTCCGCGCCATCAATGGGACGTAAGGGACCCAACCCTCACCCTTGCCCCATCTTCTGGTCAGCCACGCCTCTGGCTCCAAACAGAATCAGTGCCCATACTTTCTTGCATGATTGATGTTCCCTGCACTCCTGACCCATTGAGATTTCTAGGCAGCCTTGACTTAAATCAAGTGAAATCTGTTCTCTCCACCTGTTCCCATCTGAGTCCTCCTTTTTTTTTTTTTTTTTTTTTTGAGATGGATTCTCACTGTCTCCCAGGCTGGAGTGCAGTGGCGCGATCTCAGCTCACTGCAAGCTCTGCCTCACAGGTTCACGCCATTCTCCTGCCTCAGCCTCCCCAGTAGCTGGGATTACAGGCGCCCGCCACCAAGCCTGGCTAATTTTTTGTGGTTTTAGTAGAGACAGGGTTTCACCGTGTTAGCCAAGATGGTCTCGATCTCCTGACCTCGTGATCCGCCCGCCTCAGCCTCCCAAAGTGCTGGGATTACAGGCGTGAGCCACTGTGTCTGGCCCCTTCCTCCTTTTCTAAACATCCCCATGCCCTTGAACTGATTCTTGAAATATTCTTCCCCCTCATAACTCTTGTTCTTCTTACCAAGGGGCCCAGGATGTGTGCAGCTATTGAGGTGTGACACAAGTTGTACAGAGGAGAGCAGGCTTATCACCTCCCTCTTTCTAGGCTTAATATCACCGTTAATGCAGTCTTAGGATCACCTGCTTTTTGTAGGTGGTTACATCTCACTTGTGGGCTTGGAATCTGGGGTTGGACCTTGAGGGACACCACCCATCCCTGATAATAATTTATTCAATAATTTTTACTGAACATGTACTATATGCTGGTATGCAGATACAGAGAACAGCAAGAATGACACATATCCTCTGCCCTCAAAAAAATTACATAGTCTGGGGCCAGGATCACCTCAGGTCGGGAGTTCATGAGCAGCCTGACCAACATGGAGAAACCCTGTCTCTACTAAAAATACAAAATTAGCCGGGCATGGTGGCGCATGCCTGTAATCCCAGCTACTTGAGAGGCTGAGGCAGGAGAATCGCTTGAACCTGGGAGGTGGAGGTTGTGGTGAGCTGAGATCATGCCACTGCACTCCAGCCTGGGCAACAAGAGCGAAACTCCAGCTAAAAAAAAAAAAAAAAAGATTACATAGTCTGATAGACAGACAAAGTAACAGGTATTCGCAACGTATTGTGACCAGGATTGTGATGGGATCAGGATTGTGATGGGATCAGGATTGTGGGATGCACAAGGGGCTCTGGGAGTCCCAGTGAGGTACTCGATTCAGCCTGCAGGAGTCTGGAGACATCTAAATTGAGCTGTAAGGGATGCAAGTGGAAAACAGGGGGAAGGAGAAGGATGAGGTGAGGAAGAACATTCCAGGCAGAAGGAATCATGCATACAAAGCTCCCCCCCGCCACACACACACACAGCAGGTTCTGGGAAAGTAGAATAAGAGAGGCTGCGGTGTGGAGTCGTCAATGGGATGTTGAGAGACAAGACTAGAGATGCTGTGGGAAGGGTCCTGTGAGCAGGGTAAGGAGTTTGGATTCGCCCCAAGGGCTCTGGGGAGCTTAGGGGGAATGTAGGCAGGCAGTGCACGGTCAGATGCTGGCTGGAGGCAGGGTGACTGGAAGCAGACCGTCCACATCTCAACCTTGGTCTCCCGGCAGATGGGTTGGCTATGAGTTTCCCGGCTACCGTGGGCGCCAGTACGTGTTTGAGCGGGGCGAGTACCGCCACTGGAATGAGTGGAACGCCAGCCAGCCGCAGCTGCAGTCTGTGCGCCGCATCCGCGACCAGAAGTGGCACAAGCGGGGCTGCTTCCTCAGCAGCTGAAAGGCACCCAGACCTCAAAGACCCAGACCCACGCTTCGGGGGCTGCATGGGCAAGAAGAGGAGGCTCCAGGGCTGGGGCGAGGGCCGACCTGTCCACCCTTCCCTGGAATCTGCTCAATAAAGCCTGGGGTTGGTCCCCCGCCTGCCATGTTCCTCGGCATCACTTCCTGAGGGAGCCAGGCCTGGGGCAGGACCTGTGGGAGAGGCCTGCTGAAGGAGGCTGGGGCTTGAGAGTTCTGAGACTCCCAGGAAGGGGCTGTGAACTTTGCCCATATCCTAGGCTCTAATCCTTTCAGGCAGAACCATGTGCCCCTACTGCCCTGATCTTGTGTTTATCTGCTGGTGCGTGTTTCCACCTGAATGTCTGTCCGTCTACCCACCCACTCATCCATCCATCCATCCACCCATCCATCCATCCATCCACCCACCCGTGTGCCCATCCATTCATCTACTCACCCATCCATCCATCCACCCACCCACCCACTCGCCTATCCATCTATCTATCCATCCATCCATCCACCCACCCACTGGCCTATCCATCCACCCACTCACCTACCCATTCATTCATCCATCCATCCACCTACCACCCATTCATCCATCCATGCATCCACCCATCCATCCATCCATCCACCCATCCATCCATCCATCCACCCACCCACCCGTGTGCCCATCCATTCATCTACTCACCCATCCATCCATCCACCCACCCACCCACTCGCCTATCCATCCATCCATCCATCCATCCATCCATCCATCCATCCACCCACCCACTGGCCTATCCATCCACCCACTCACCTACCCATTCATTCATCCATCCATCCACCTACCACCCATTCATCCATCCATGCATCCATCCATCCATCCATCCACCCACTTACCCATCCATCCATCCATTCATTCTTCCTTCCATCTTCCTATATTTATTCTTTCCATTAATTCATCCATTTTTCCTTCCACTCACCCATCTTTCTATCCTTTTATTCACATATCCATCAATTTTTCTTTCAATCTACTTGTCCATCAATCTGTCCATCTGATCTTCCTTCCTCCCTCCCTCCCTCCTTCCTCCCTCCTTCCCTTCCCTTCCCTCCCCTTCCCTCCCTCCCTCCCTCCCTCCCTCTCTCCTTCCTTCCTTCCCTCCTTCCTTCCTTCCTTCCTTCCTTCCTTCCTTCCCTCCTTCCTTCCTTCTCTCCTTCCTTCCATTCATCTATCCATTATTTCCCCTTCCACCTCTCTGTGGGTCAGTTTCTGTTGTCACTAATGTATTCAGCAAATGCCATGCCCTGTTCAGTGTATTCAGCAAATGCCATGCCCTGTTCAAGGCCTAAGGACACAGCACAATGTCCTACCCTCCAGGTTTTCACCTTCTATGGGAGAGACAGAAAGTAAATAAACAGGTCGATTAGGGCTATAATGTTGGGAGGTGGTAAATACCAAGAACAATAAAGTTGGATAAAAATGTGGAAATGATGGGGGTGATGGCCAGAGAACTCTGTGCAGAGGAACCGAGACCTCAGTGAACCACCAGAACATTCCAGGCAGGGAAATAACAGGTGCAAAGGCCCTAGGTAGGAGTGTGCTGGCCTAACAGGAAACAGCAGATCTGGAATGGAGTAAAAGACTGGGGGTAGGGGTGAGAGAGAACAGGATTAGGTCATTTAGGGCTTTGCAGACCATAGTGGACTTTGCTTGTTTGCTGAGGGAGGTGGGAGCCACGGAGCATTTGAGCAAAGTGAGCCATGGTCTGCATTGGGATTTAATAGGATCACTCTGGCTAGGGTGCAAACAATACACTTAGTGGCCAAGGAGGGATGCAGAGAGACTGGTTGGGAGGCTACTGCGGAGAGCCTGGTGAACTGTGCTGGTGTGGTCCACCTGAGCCTCTCTCTCTCATGCCTCAGTATCTCTGTCCCCTTGCCCAGAGGCCTTCTGCAGCCTTGCCTGGGGTACTGAGTGCCCATCCCACCTCGCCCCACTGACCACTGCTCTGGGCCCCCATGGATTCATCTGGGCAGTGGGAGTTGCTGGAGAGCTGAACAGACACTGGGGAAGTGCCAGGCATAAATGAAGTCATTATGTATGTATGTATGTATTTATTTAGAGACAGAGCCTCACTCTGTCACCCAGGCAGTGGCGCAGTCTCAGCTTACTGCAACCTCCATCTCCTGGGCTCAAGCAATTCTCCTGTCTCAGCGTCCCAAGTAGCTGGGACTACAGGTGCACACCACCACACCTGGCTAATTTTTGTATTTTTAGTGGAGACGGGGTTTCACCGTATTTATCAGGTTGGTCTCAAACTCCTGACCTCCGGTGACCCACAGAGTGCTGGGATTACAGGCGTGAGCCACCATGCTCGGCCATAATTGAGTCTCTTCTGCCCCCAGGTAGGAAGAGGAGGGGCCTTCTGTCTGATAGCCAGCTGACAGCAGACTTCCTGCAGGCAGGCCCCGGGACCACCCCTCACCCATCCAACCTCCACGAGCCAACTCTGCATCATTTCCCTGACTTTGTTCCCCTTCTGTACCCGGAGCCTGTCTCAGGCACCTGCAGCCTCCCAGTGGGTGATGCAGCTGGTGTGTGGGAGGCCTATGGGGGCCTCAGGAAGGCATCGAAAAGGATAGAGTAATTTTCAATTACTTTAACCTGCATATTTTACAAACAAGGTGAGAAATCATCTTGGCTTTTTCCGAGTGTATGGGAGACCTGGGCTGGGCATCAGGATCAGATGGAGCAGGGGTGCCCAGCAATGAGACAGATGGAAGGCAGGGGCTTGGCATCCCCATTGTGGAGATACAGCACCCCTATTGCCCACCCCTTTCTCCCCTCTGGACCCACCCCTTCCTCCCTTTCTCAAGGACAGGCCTTGTCATTCTTTATTCTTTTTTTATCTTTTGAGATGGGGTCTTGCTCTGTCACCCAGGCTGGAGTGCAGGGGCGTGATCATAGCTCACTGCAGCCTCCAATTCCTGGTCTCAAGCAATCCTCCTACCTCAGCCTCCTAAAGCACTGGGATTACAGGCCTTACACCACCATGCCCAGCTAATTTTTAAAATCTATTTTTTTGTAGAGGTGAGGGTCTTGCTGTATTGCCCAGGCTTGTCTCAAACTCTTGGCCTCAAGCACTCTTCCTGCCTCAGCCTCCCAAAGTGTTGGGATTACAGGTATGAACCAGGTGCCATCCAGTCTGTTATGCTTTTTTTTTTTTTTTTCTTTTTTTAAAGCAGAGACTCACTCTGTCACCCAGGCTGGAGTGCAATGGCTCTGTCTCGGCTCATGGCAACCTCTACCTCCCAGGTTAAAGTGATTCTCCTGCCTCAGTCTCCTGAGTAACTAGGATTACAGGTGTGTGCCACCATACCAGGCTAATTTTTGTATTTTTAGTAGAGATGGAGTTTCACCGTGTTGCCCAGGCTGGTCTCAACTCCTGACCTCATGATCCACCCATCTCGGCCTCCCAAAGTGCTGGGATTACAGACGTGAGCCACTGCGCCCAGCCTGTCATGCTTTATAAATCAATGCTTACATCATCTCATTAAACCCTAAGAATGTCATTGGGAGGGAGGTGTGGTTATTAATTCTATTTCACAGATGAAGAAATGGGCTCAGGAAGGCAACATCACCTTCCTAGAGCCACACAGATAAGAAGTGGTAGAACTGAGACCTGAATCCTGAGTATTGACCCCAGAAAATCCATTCCTGAGTGCCATACACTCTGATGTATCCATAAAGGACAGGAAGTCACCAGGGAGATAGAGTTGAAAATAACATCAGCAGTTGCAGCAGAAACAATGGTAATAATAGCTGCCACTATAGAGCTGTGGCCAAACCCCAAGCACGTTATTAAGTGCTTTAGAGTTTCATCTTGACTCTACAGACAGGCAATAGTGATCCTCATATGCAGCGAGAGAAACTGAGGCCCAGAGAGCTGAAGCAAATTGTCCCAAGTGCCACAGCTCTTAAGTGATGGGACCAGGACTCACATTCAGGTCTGTCTCCAAAGCCTGTTTCTCTGTATTCATCAGCTGTTGATGCTGTGGTCGGCCGACCTAATGCCACTGCTGGTGTGGGCAATGACTTCGTTTATTGAGCATCTACTATAGTCTAGGCACCAGGCCACAAGCTGTCCATGCCTGATCTCAGTTAACACCAACAGGGCCCATGACTGGCTCTTGGGTAACAGGAAGGCTTACAGGGAGGCTGGCTCAAGTGTGAGTCAGTGAGCTCACTCACCATGCCCACTCCCAGGCCAAATGCAGCCCCGGGGTCTGGAGTGGGGTTGATTCCAGAGGTGGGGTTCAGCTGCACTGCCAGATTCATGGCAGCCCCAGGCAGTCATTGATGTCCAAGTGACTCTATCCAAAGCCTCACACCCATAATAACCCATCTGTGCCAGGAAGCTCTTGTTCTTCACACGTACTCCCATACATTGTCCTATGCAGTCGTCAGCTCCAAGAGGCTCAGAGTGGGGAAGCCAACTGCTGAGGTCACAGAGCCAGGGAGGGGCAGAACTGAGATTTGACCCCAGGCCTGTCTAACTCCAAAACCCTGCTCTTAGCCCCAACCTAGACAAAATTGTCTTTTTTTTTTTTTGAGACAGAGTCTTGATTTCTCGCCCAGGCTGGAGTGCAGTGGCGCGATCTCGGCTCACTGCAACCTCCGCCTCCTAGGTTCAAGTGATTCTCCTGCCTCAGCCTCCCAAGTAGCTGGGACTACAGGTGCACTCCACCATGCCCAGCTAATTTTTTTGGTATTTTCAGTAGAGATGGGCTTTCACCATGTTGACCAGGCTGGTCTCGAACTCCTGACCTCGTGATCCACCCACCTCGGCCTTCCAAAGTGCTGGGATTACAGGCGTTAGCCACCCCGGCCTGGCCCTCATATTTTGTCTTCTGCAGGGCAGAACCTTAGAGTGACAGTGAAGCAAGAATATCCCTCAATTACAAGAGAATGAGGTTTAGTGCCAAGAGATCACTTTACCAGCTTAATTGAGAGGCAGTGTTGCTCAGTGATTGCAGGCAGTAGAGTCAAGTGATCAGAGGAAGAGTGACTGAGTTAGGCCCTTGATTTTTACCACCTGGTTTCCTCTCCAGGCTCCACCACTCATTGTGTGCCTTTGGGCAAGTCACTTAACCTCGCTGTGCTTCCTTTGCCT